TGTGTGTGTGTGTGTGTGTGTGTGTGGTATCTTCGTGTATTCTACTCCTGTTATGACTACGGTCAAAAAGTTTTGGCAAGAATGGCATGAGGGTTAAGAATAGGGTTAGCTTCCTAGCATTAGATTAGGGTTAGTTTTGAGAGTTGAGAAAGATTTTGGCTGAGGATAATCAGTTGTTATTTTTCCCCTTCTACTTTCTTTTCTAAATGGTACCATAGCTCCTACTCCCCTACTCCATCTCACTCTCTAACCTGATTGGTATTGATTGCACTGTAAAACTTGGGTCTCAATCTCAGTACATGTACTTCTTTTCAGTCTCAAAACTTCAATTCATTCCCTAACCCCATTAGTGTTGATGGCACTGTTAAACCGGAGTCTTAATCTCCTTACTTCTTTTCACTCTGTAACCTTATTAGTGTTGATCACATTGTAAAACCGTAGTCTCAATCTCAATGCTTCCTTTCACTCCCTAATCCAATTCGTTTTGATAATTACTTACTTTACTTTTTACTTTTTACTTTTTACTTTTACTTTTTCATCCTCTGTTTCTGTTAAGCGTCGAGCGGAGATGCAGTTTTCTATGGTAGGCCAGCTCCGCAGCTCTTTCAGTTGTGATGTTATGTTTTCATAGGGTTTCCTTGACACCCTCGATCCACCTTTTGCGTGGCCTTCCTCTTCCTTTATAGCCTGAGTGCTTTTCGTTTTTATCGGGCTTATAAAAACCAGAGTCTGCTCCAAACGTCTTTTCACTTTTCATTAAATAAAGTATTATATAGATTTCTTCCACCTAGGATGGAAACTATTGATTTTGATCCTCAAGACGTAGTTTCGTTTTGATTATTTTTTTAAAAAATTAATTATCAACTCATTGAGGGCCTCACTCCTTATTAACATCTTGGCAAATGTGGACAAGGACACCTTCAAACGGGAGGTAATTGTGCCGTAAAACGAGTCTAAAACTCTAACCCCCTTGTCTTCCTACAGTTGAAGATGGTGCTGATCAAGTGCTGCGACATCTCCAACGAGGTGCGTCCCATGGAGGTGTCCGAGCCCTGGGTGGACTGTCTGTTGGAGGAGTACTTCAACCAGGTCAGTGGGACACGGCCGGATGGTCACCCCAGAGAATGAAACAGAGAGAGAGACAAAGAGAGAGAGAGGGGGGAGGGAGGTAGAGAGGGAGAGAGAGAGGGGGAGAGCGAGAGAGAGAGAGGTGGGAGAGCGAGAGAGAGGGGGGAGAGA